TTTTATTAATATTGCCCAATAAAATTATAACGTTGACGCATTTAAAAAGAAAAGTTCATATAAACTCTTGTACTACGTGCCCTTACTTCTCAGCTGCGGGCACGCAAAATTTATTTTCGATAAATTTTGATAATTTGTTAATCAAAACACCATATTTTCAGTATTTCATAAGGGTCTCAGGTTTTAGTAGTAAGAAGATTTACTTTTACATGACCTTACTTGTCTGCTGCGGGCACGCAAAATTTATATTCAACCAATTTGGAATATACCGTAGATATACATTCATGTATATTACCGGAATATTTGTTTTCAACATACTAGGTATATTCACCTGCACATATACACAATATGTACATACCTGGCATGTTCGTCTGCACATATACCCAATATGTACATATATGTACATACCTAGGATATACTTTTTATGAACTTTGATGAATATACATGCATGTATATTCCACGAACATTCATGTTAGGAATGTTCACCTATGTATATTCCCAGGATATTCCCGCAATGTTCTGTATATTTTTTGAACATTCTGGGATATTCATAGAATATCAAATGCTATCTGGGTAGAGGAGTTAAATGAACTAGATGGTCACGAAAGCCACAAATGAATTTCATCAGACTATCTTCCATGCATCCCTACTTACAATGATGACAAGCGAAATTTTCCACATGACCTCGTCTTTCCCAGACTGGAAAAGCGACTTTTGCAGATTATCCACAAACCGGGGAAATGTTGAGCAAATCGGTCTATTCCAGACAGCAACCGAAAGCAACTGAAAGAAACTCCTGGAAATGGAAAAACCTCAACTGATTGCGCATCTGGAAAAAGGGGTGTGGTACAGAGAAACCCAGGCCCTTTTAATTCAGATGATGTCCAAATTCTCCATAGGGTTGCCGGCTTTAAGGGCAAAGGAAAATCAATAGAGTTTTTCCTTAGAAAACTGTCAGCCGATGATTTGGGTCCAAAACAAACATATTTTATGGCGATTTTTCAGTCCATTACAGCCCTGCGCTTTCCACACTATTCAGTTACAGAGTGATTTCCATGGGGAACATTCCAAGGTTCATCTGAGCACAAGTTTACTTCCAATCGATCTGTTCACGTCAATTACGTTGTGTAGTTGGGATATTTTATACATTCGGAAGGCGCACGTTTACCAAATAGCAAGTAGAAGTTTCCCAAACATATTATTCTGATTCGAGTCGATTTCAATGTGAGGTGGTTTATCGATTTAATAAAAGTATGTCACGAATTTCAAGTGGCTTTTTTAAGCAATCAGGAGCTATGCAATGAGGAACAAATACTGGTCAGATGCGCCCTGTGCATCCGCACACCCTGTATATACAAAACTGATACAGTTTTTTTTAAATTTTCTTAGCAATTACAACACTAATTTCAAATGCCTACTAAAATATTAACTATTTTAAATAAATGAGAAACTTTTCGCTCATTTTCCTTCTTCAGTTTTGCGCAACCTCCATACCTCCACAAAGGACTTTAGAAGACGCATTTTTACAAGTTTCAGCTAATAAGGAAAATACATTATTTCTAGTACTTTTTCTTTATTGAATATAATAGATATATCTATTTTGGAGGGACGTTCAAAATACAACAAAATAGTGCAGGCTTTAGCGTTTTTTGTTTGCAATTATTGCCTTAAGTTCTATATTGTTGAGGCGGATTCATTTTTTACAAACTTCTTTTTGGGTATTTCGCCTCAAAAATTTTTGTCTTTAAACTAGACAGAATTTCCTCACGTCTTCTATTACAGATTGATAAATAGTGCTCCTATTTCGCAATAAGAACGAATTATTTATCAAAAAGTAATCCAGAACTATTACCTAGAGGGTACCAAGCTGTAAGAGAAAATTCCAATTATTAAAGAAATTAATTTGAAAAATTTCGATAGCTATTTTCTGCTATCGTTATCAAAAGAACCTAAATGAACCTAAAAAATAGTATGTTCATAAATTGTGTAACAATAGTAGGATCATACAGTATATGAAAATTCGCTCTGATAATTCGTCTGTGCAAATTGTCAGTTATGTGACTTTGACTTAATCTCATTGTTTAAATTAATAAAAGTAATGTTTATTAATAATTTTGGTGTAAATTTAATTTGGGTCTCTGGTTAAATAATGTTTCTCTGGTCTACTTCAGATTTTAGCATAGGTAACCATGTATGACTTAAATTAAATGAACATGAAGCAACACAATTATTTT